CCTGTTATGAATAATCAGTTGATACAACAAGATGCAGACAAAATCTTACTATTTCAAGGATGTTTGACTGAACTACAAAAAATAAAAAGATTACCATATCAATACCAATGGAACTTTATTCACCAACTCAGAAGTAGTCAAAATTCATCTATCTATTTTCTAAAACAAATTGGATTCAAAAGATAAAATTTGTTGCCAAAAACGATAATACAAGAATATACAAAGTAAACATTTATAATTATTAAGATATTTGTGAGTTACTTTCAAATTAATTATTTACATTTTATGCCGTTACATTCACTCCCCTTCCAGTAACGAACGTTACGTTAGAAAGAAGAATTGGAAGAAGTAATGGTGCTTATCATCAAAATAATAACAAAATTAATGTATAAGTAAAACATCAGTTTTTGAATCGCAACGGTGTCTTAAGAATTCTACCAGTTCGGGATTGTCTTAAAGCTGTTTTGATTTTAGGTTAGTCTCAGTTATTTTGGTTTGAATTTCAATCGACGTAAGCGCTTGTTTACACAATTTGGAGTCGTAGGTTTCTTGTTCAGGGATTTGTTGTGGTACAATATATGCTGGCTTCAATCTGTCTATCGATGCATTTACTTCTTTATTCTTTATCCTGAGAGTAAAATATTTTGGTAAACGATTGATAAACAATGTGGACTTTCATTTTGGGGTTCGAGTTGCTTACGAACTCTGCCAATGCGCAGAAAAACGTGAGAAGCTAATTCTAAATCTGTATGTACAAATAATTTAGGGATACCTTTATTTTGTATTTCCTTCAGCCGAATTAATTCCGTATACTTTTGTAATTTACGTATAAAAGTTCCAGGTGGTGTGTGACGGATTTTTCTCTTCAAGGAATTTCAATTCGGAAGTTTAATATTTTCTCCATATACCAATGGTATAATACCATTTCCGCTATTGTATAGTTAGTATTGTTGTGGATTGCCGTTCGTAGGCCTAAAAGAACCGTTGATAATATCTCACTCCAAAATTTATTATTATGGGCTCTGAAAGCAGCCTTTATTGATCTTGTGGAGCCGTTCTACCTTGCCGTTGCACTGCGGGTGATAGGTTGTAGTGTGTGAGAGCTTAATGCCGCAGATTCTTGACAGGGTTTGAAATATTTCAGATGAAAATTGATTTTCTTAATCAGTTATTAGATACAAGGGTATTCCAAATCTTGCTATTCAATTGCTATAGAAAGCTTTCGCTACAGTTTTTACTGACATGTCTTCGAACAGAATAGCTGCTATCCAATTTGTTTATCTATCTATACATGTTAGAGAGTAGGTGTTACAATTTGATGGTGGTAACTGACCAACAAGATCAACGTATACGTCTAGAAATCTTTCTGCTGGCGTTGGATATTCGCCAGTTATTGATTTCGTATAGGGGGATATTTTAGAGTTTTGACATGGAATACAAGATTTCGCCAAATGCTGAACATCTTTTTTGATATTTGACCGAATAAATTTTGAAGGGATTAATTTTATTGTTGGTTTGATTCCAGGATGGGATAATCCGTGAAACTGATGAAATATTTTCATACGATGACTCTTGGGTATATAGGGTCTACCATGCTGTGTTGAAATATCACACCATAATTTTTTCCAGATGGAAGGGAAAACTGCTTAAAAGTCAAATTTGTAGATTTTTGCAATGCCTTAAATTCATCCTCTCTGTCTTGTTTTCGGCAGTTTCGTCATAGTTAATTAAGGCGATTTCTTCGATTCTGGATAATGTATCCGCTACTACGTTATTCTCTCCTGTAATGTACCTAATAACTGTTATAAATTCTGAAATGTATTGGAGATGCCCAGTTCGTCTTAGAGATGCTCTATCTAGTTTTGGGGAAAATGCATAGATTAAGGGCTTGTGGTCAGTATACACTATGATTTTTCGTCCTTCCAACAAATGTTTGAAATGTTTAATGGACAGATAAATTGCGAGATGTTCGCGATCATATTTACTGTAATTTTGCTGCGTAACGTTAAGTTTCTTGAAAAAAAATCCGATTGGTTCCCAACTACCATTTTCAATTTGCTGTAAAATTGAAACGACTGCCGAATCCGAAGCAGCTGTGCACAATGATAAAGGTAAGTCTGGGTCGGGGTGAGAGACAAGAGCTACATTTGCTAAGCTTGTTTACATATTTCAAATTTCTCAATGGCCTCATCCGTCCAAGTTATTTTTGGATTATCTCTTTTCTTTGCGCCTTTTAGGTAGTCTTGTAAAACAGCTTCAGTACTTGTGGCGGTTTTTAAAAAACGACGGTAGAACTTAACCATTCCAAGAAAGGTTCGTAGTTGGTGAATTATGTCAGGAAATTTAATATTAAGAATAGCTTTAACCTTGTCAGGAAGAGGTTTTTGATCCTTCAGGTGTAAATAGAAAGTCTAAAAATTCCAATTCATTAACCCCAAAAAACAGGTTTAGAAATATTTTGTATTATATTAGGATTAAGTCTCAATCCATACTTTTGCAATCTATCAAAAACTAATTTTAAATGCTTTTCGTTTTCCTTTTCATTATTTGATGCAATTAAAGCATCATCCAAATATGTAAAAACAAAATTTAGTCCGCTAAATACCTCATTAATAAATCTCTGAAAGGTAGAAGATGCGTTACGCAACCCGAAACTCATGACATGAAATTCATATAGTCCAAAAGGGGTTATAATGGCAGCTTTTGGCTTATCATTTTCATTAATAGGAATCTGAAAATATGCTTTTTGCTAATCAATTTTAGAAAATATTTTAGTATTTTTTAAAATGTGGTTGAAATCGTCTAATCGGGTCATAAGATAACGATCTGGTATTGTTTGTGCATTCAAACGTCAAATCCCCGCATGGTTGGAAGGAAACATCTTTTTTCGGAACCATATGAAGGGGATTGGCCCATTTTGATTTAAAGGGACGAATAATATCATTTTCTAACATATATTAAAATTCCTGTTTTGCTGTTTGTAATTGCTTGGGATCCAATTGTCTAGCTCTGGTATAAACAGGTTGTCCGGTATAACTGTAATATAATGCACAGCACCATGCTTAAATGTTGATACTGACACAATCGGTTTTGTTAAATCTGGATATTGTTGTAATAAATTTAGCATATTTAGAATTTTACTATCTAGAGTACTAACAGCATGATCCAAAAACACTGTTGTTTCATTACTTCGAACAGATAGGTTAGTTATTCCATCAATTAATTGCTTATTATGAATGTCAATTAAAAGTTTTACTTTATTTAGAAAATCAGCTTCTATAATAGCTCTATCAACTTTAGCTAATATAAACGAAAATTGGATTTCTCATCTAAGTCCTAAATTTAAAGATAAAATTTTAATTGCATAAGTAGGAATTTCTGTTTCATTCGCTGATAATTTAAAATCATCTGCTTTTGTAATATGAGTATTCGCAAGAATGAAACTTAACATCAGCACCTGAATCTACTAAGAACCGCAGTCCTGTGTTTTGTCCTTAACAAACTAGCGCATTGCTCATTTTTCATCTCTCCTGCTTCGAAAATTACCTAATGTCTCTACAGTGGCGCCCAAACTAAAAAAAGTGGTGGATGATGGTTCCCCACCACCAGGATTAGGCGATTGGGTACTCTAATCCCCAGTCGCCCTTTAAAAAGGGGGAGTATATAAGGTATTTCTCCCGCCTTCCTAGCATGCCTTCGTGGTGTAGTGGCCAGCACGTTCGACGCGTATTCGAGAGGTCCGTGGTTCAGGGTCCCGGCGAGGGCATTGCTCATTTTTCATCTCTCCTGCTTCGAAATAACCTAATGTCTCTATAACTTATTTAACTGTGATACCAAATATATAACTATTTAAATAAAAATAAGTTGTTTTACAATTGCGAATAACTTACTTCACATAACGCATTAGCTCTATATTTACACATCACTCCTTCACATTAATACTGTTAGTGAAAAATCTAAATATTATGAGTATTATGAAACAAATTGCCAAAGAGAGAGTTAAAGGAAATACTAAAAACCATACTTACAGTAAAATGGCTTTATTATGACACAATAACACGCCGAATAAATACTAATTCAGAAGTCAAACAACAAAAATCAGCGTTATATTCACAAAATTTTCACAGGACTAGTTTCGATGGTTTTACCGAACCAGCTGAAGATGATGGTTCGGTAAAACCATCGAAAACTAGTCCTGTGAAAATTTTGTGAATATAACGCTGATTTTTGTTGTTTGACTTCTGAATTAGTATGGCTTTATTAATTCGTGACAATACTGATAAGAAACCTAATTAGAGAAAAGAGACTAATTTACTTTTAATTCGTGAAAGAGCTTATTCAATTGCAACGAGCAGAACTCAAATGCAGTTAAAAAGGTGTGCTGTTTTTTCATTATCATTTAGATAAGAAAAATACATTTAATTTTCACAAGACTATTTATATACTTTTTATTTTTTCACTATTGAATTTATTTGGACTACCATTCACAAATCTAATCCTTAAAATTGCATTAAATAACAAAAAGTAGTTATTTTGAGTGAGTAATGGTTTATTGCTTCCGATGTTTTCTATTCTTACCAAATATATAAGAAATCAAAAGCGCTCAAAATATATGTTTGCAATGGATAATAGTAGTACATATTATTATTTTTAATCAAATAAATTAATGTGAAGATTATTTTCACTCTGAAATAAATTAAGTGTGACGAAAATCCAAAATATAATTTAAGTAAATCTGTAAATATTCTGAAACAGGACACATTGGTTCGTAAATGGTTATTTCTAATAATAAAATGAAATGTTTCGCTTCTCACTTTCAGCATCTTTCACAAATATTAAATTCATTTTCATTTCCGTTTGAGAGAAAAGCAAGATAAAATTTACTTAGTCTCTTGTCTAACAGTATTACAAAATTTCATATTTTATGGTTGTTAACGTATAATATATTATAAGTTACCTTAATTTAGAAATTTATGAAATTTATAAAGCATTTTTTTCAGGATAATAATTTTACTCACGGATGGTCAGAGTAATGATGGACATAATCCAGTTTCTGTAGCAAAGGAGTTGAAAAATAGCGGAGTTATAATTTTTAGTGTCGGAGTTGCTGAAGTTAATGTGGAAGAAGTTAAAGAAGTAGCGACCTCTCTTGATCACATGTATATCTTATCAGACTTTTCTTATATTGAAACGGTGAATAAACACTTAATAAATGGTAAGTGTGAAGTATTTTGTTATTTATTTACTAATGTTATTTAAACTTCTTAGGCAACTGAAACCTAAATTAAAATTTCTTTACATATTTGAAGCGTTCAGATTAAAGATTTATAAATTTCATTTCTGCTGCAATAGAAAACGAAAATTCTCATTTTGCTCTTCCCTTATTTTCTGAATACCGAAAGAAGCAATTATAGAAACATAAGAATAATATGGCAAGAGAAAATTTGCGTATTTTATAGCTGAATAACAGTTTACCAATACTTATAGAGGAATAATATTTGGTTGTAACGACAGTTTCCCAGCAAAAAACGTTCTTAATAAAGTTAGAAAAAAATGAAAACAGTGCCTTTAGTGCAGGTAGCAATCACCATTCGAAATTTATAATTTTCTGCAAACGTTTCGGTAGTTTTTCAAAGACTTCGGCCCAGAAACCTGGTGGCCGCGAATCCAAAAAAAGACCAACCTCATTTCGGACGTCCTGTACAGAATGGAAGATAGCGCAAGCAAGTTATAGCTGCAGGTGTTAAAAAAGGTAGAAGTCCGAAGGAGCGAAGTTGGGACTATATGGTGAGTGTGGAAAAAGATACCATTCGAGTCTGCGCCGAGTCCAAACTGGTGAAGGCAAACACGTGTGGTCTGCGTTGAAAGTTTAGATACTCTGATGAATACAAATGCCATTAAATAGATAAAAAGTTAACCTGGTTGCTTACTGAGTAAGCAGGCTGAACAGAATATGATTTTAACATCATTTTTTAAATTGATGAATCAAAATTAGGTGAACAATTTTTTTTCAACTCATGTGAAACAACCGTTAATTTTGCTTGAAAGTATATAAAAAAGGAAAACAAAATCCTGTAGCCATTGATTCGATGTAACAATCATTATATGTAATACATCTTTCTTTAGAAAGAAATTAAAACATTTTATTGAATACATTGAACTGTAAAAAATTATACTTCTTAATGCACTTACTATTAAATGCAAATTTTTTTAATGGTTGGTCATAGACTTATGGTTCAATTTAAAGAATGAAAATGAGATAATTTTATTCAAACATAACAATTTAGTACATATGAAGCTTAAAATTTTATTAGGACTATGGTAAAAAAATCAATTATTAAAGTGCTTACAGTGGTTGAATTTGTCAGACAAAAGTAGTCTGTTACAGCACATTAATAAAATATCATTTACTAAAATTTTGATGTTTTGAACGGTTGGTCGTAGATATGTGATTCCAATTTAAGAAATAGTCACGTAATTTTGTTCATAGATATATCTGTTACTTACATTATATTATCAGGTTCAGTGTTTCGCCTTACTTGCTTGGGGAACATTCAAGAACCTGACTCGGAACAGGGAGCTTACTAAAGCTATGCTCAATAAATGTGGGAAGTAGACAAGATACACAGGAAGGGTATACGAAACCTTTTTATTTTTCACTCTTTACAATAATTTCCGGACTTCGGAATACAGAGACCAACCACTTGTGGTCTGAACGTAAGAATATAAAAATATTAACTAAACTCTAACTAACTTTGGAATAATAAACAAGGGCCTACGTGGAAGATTGGCCGTATATATTAACAGGAAGCCGTATGTAGTACAGAGAACTGTTAACACTACAATACGTTTTTAAAATTATCAAGAGGATTAAACCTCTGGCCTGGAAGGCAACCAGCAACCAAGTAAACTGCTAAGGCAAGCGGCCTGCTTCTACTAACTCCTTCCTCTCTCTTGCTTGGCAAAAAGCCACAACTTAAGTACTTGGCGTTCGCCAGACAAATTTGCATAAATAAGTTAAAGCTTTTAATTCTGGCCGGAAGTATAAAATAAGAAGTGATAGTAAAGATTTAAAATAAAATAAACGTTAGTAAAACTTAAGATCCTTACAATATTGCATGAAATTAAACACGAACTTAAAATCATATTACACGAATTTATAAACTTGTAATGTAAAGTTATGTTACACGAAAATTAATTACGACACTTAGTTACTATTATATTGCACAAAACGAAGAGTTTTGTTTGGGCTGTACATATAATGTCAACCCACTGACAAGCCAAAATTCACAAAACTAGCTTCATATGTTTGTAATGATTAAATTTCATTTAAAGGCATTTGTAAGATTATAAAATAAAGTCAATTTTGGAAAAAGTTTAAATCGACATATTTTATATTTATTTAACAATTGGAAATAACAAATTTGCCTACAATTGTGCACAGATGCATATTTTAATAATAGTATGACGCAGATTTACTCTCCTCCTGGCTCAATATTTAAGCCATGAATAGCTGGGAGATTATTATGAAGACTATGGTCCTTTTGGTAGCAAAAAATATAGACTCTATGTAGAAGACGAAGTAGCGAATACTCACTGTCTTTGAAAAATAAATACTGTTGAGGAAGATTTTAAATAACCTTTTTTATTTAAACTATGCAAAATATCCATTTTGACCACTGTTAAACAAATGCACGCACTTGGTGTTCATAATTCACCAGCACTTGTGGCCAACTAAATTAACAGAAAATAAAAAAATGTAAAATGAGCATTAAATTAAGATGGCTAATCACTGGCTCCTTAGCTTAACCAAACACTAAATAGACTGCACACAGCAAAGCCAAGCCTAGAAATTTCAATATTAAGTGAAAGGTGTTTAACACCAACTAGAGAGCTAAATTCAAACATGCAGCATAAACTCGGAACTAACTTCGCTGCTACTCCTTTCAAACTCTTGAAACTTCTGAACGACGTTTAGATTAGCATACTACGTCATTTATAAATTTTCATTCCGGCAGAAAACTGAAATAAGGAGGAAGAGGAAAGTAAACCTAAAAATAACTGGTTAGAGTAAAAGTCCTTACAAGACTTTTTCAAAAATCTTTTGTTTTCTTTTGGAGAGCTGTCTTTAACTTCTTATGACTGAAGACTAATATGCAGTTCTGCACAAATGTTTATTTTATTAATTAATTTAGGTTAAATGGCCTACTGATTTTAAATATTGGAAGCTGAAGTCAGCTGAACACCTGGGAAATTATTATGAAACCTTACAAAAAACAATTTTCTGTTTTCTTGTAACTCCTTACGACTGAATTGAATGCAATCAGCATCAAATTAGATATTTAAATATAACCTCATGATATTTTGATTGGGAGCACTTTAAGATAAACGGCCTCTTTCAAAGGGCCGATTTTGGCTAAAAATCTCAAATTTGTTTTATTAAACATTTTTAAAGGCCAAATTCTTAGCTATCAAAAACAACTTTTATTTTCTTGATATGTTAATTAGATGTGGTGGTATGCCAATTTTTCTAAAAGGCAGCAAACCACAGCAAACCGGAAGTTACTGTCTGCCACACCGGAAACCAAAGTTTAAAGGGCAAATTAAAGACGCAGTTTTCCCCCTTTTTACTTCCTTGTGCGAAGTAAAAAGCAAGTATTGAAATCGCGAAAAGTTTCAGGCAGCATAGTTTAACGAAAATATCCATTTTTACCGCTATCGAATGCAATTTAACGATGTTTTTGCGTGACATCTGTACGTAAGGACAGAATAAAAGACTCTTTTCCTCCAAAAAATTATAAAACTGCTTTAAAATAAATTCTGAAGAGAATTTTTCGTGTTGTCTGTACGTATGTATCTCGCATAACTCAAAAACGAGTCTGTTACCCGGCTCACTGATCTCAGTTTCTTTACTCTTATATGTTTGTAAATTATGCATTTTTTGCTTTAAAAATGATTGAATTATGTTGTTCTTATCTTCCGGTTAAGGGTTTTATGCCTTTAGGAAATCTGCAAGAAATATTTGTAGAATTATCAACAATTTAAAGCTTTTTAAGTGCGGTTAAGACTAATTTTTAAATAACACGGCGGATATGCTTGTTTACATTTGAAACAGCAGAATAGTAGATTTGTTGCCAATATAGAGAGACTAAGCTTCGCAACAACAAAGATAACGCCTTCATTTATTATTGCGAATTAAATCATGCTTAACTCTTTTTTTGAATTTTTTCGAGGAAGTAAGTGTTTAAGATTTACTTCCTAATTTTTAATATAGATATTTTGAGTTTTTATGTATTTTTGTCTTGTCGCGAAGTGAGAACTCAATTATTTGAATGAGAAATACTGAATCGTCTGTGAAAAACTGTTTCTTTTTTGTTTTGTTTGATTAATTTCTTTTATATATTGTTCTAGATTTATTATAATAATTAAATAGAACATGTGGCAACGATTAGATAGTTCTTCAAAGGATATAAATTTTGTGTATTCTGAGTTATAATATAAACGAAATATAACGCTGGTTAAGTGAACCTAGCGCCAGAGGTGTCGCTATGATAAACAAATACAGTGAATTTTAAAGATGCATTTATTCTATTGTGGTTATGCGCTATCGACGAAGTAGATTTAATTCAATCCAATAAGTTTAAATAAAATGCGATAATTTAATATTCCGTACAAGGAAGTCATGTGGTGTACACATCAGATTTTTTATGTTATGTTTTTAGATAAATAATTTTAAGCATTTCAATATGTATCGGTAATGTGGCAAAGTATTATGCATTTTCTCATTTTCATTTGGCAGTGTGAATAGTTGTGTATATAGTCATGTAACGTTAATCTGAAAACTGTAAATGCGATTTTTGATTAAATGTTTTTTATTATTTATGTTCACAGTAACCATGATAACTCTAAAAGTTCCTTATGGAATCACTTGAAATTTTGCAAAGTTTTTACATTATTATGCATGATGTAGAGTAGAGTTGAAGATGATGAAGAGTTAGAAAGTTAGCCTTATAGAATTTTATTATGTCATTTTTCCTTCAATAGTTAAAATATTTTTTAGTGTTGAGTAACATATTTGGCCATATATTTTTAATTAATCAATATTTTTCTAGTGTTCTGCTTCACTGTATGCTTACGGTTAGTGTATACAACATAAATTTTTTATCTGTCAACTGATTGACAAGAAGCAACCGCAATTATTATCAGCCTTGTGAAAGAATAACTTATTTAGAGTAGAGGGCATGTAAAATTATGGATAAAGATGAAAAATCGTATCAGTAGTGAACTTCTTGAACCTTTCATCCTTGATATTAATGTCGCTTGATATCGTCTTCAAAATTATATTAACTTAGCAAGTCTTCGTTTACTCGAGTGATCATTGATGACAAATCTTCAGTCCCAAAAGACCTTCTAACAGAATACACATCATCTAAATTTTCAAGTCTAGGCTTAATCTGATCTTTTATTAAACTCATCTGATCTTTAAATTCTTTTTGTACACATGTTTTGTTCTGGGCTTTATGTTCTTTATCCTTATTTATAGTTTGCCGTTTTGTACAGAGAATTTGTATTCGAGATCCAAAAATTGTGGTACTGATGCATCCATTTCTAGATTTGAAGAATCATATGATCTTTCTGCTAATTTTTCTATACAGTTAAATTCTTTTGAACTTGCTCCACAAATATTAAACCATTGCATGGAAATGGTGTTCCTCAGTTGCAAAATTTCCTTCAATCATAATAAAGCAGATTTTATGTAGCGCATAAGTTTTTCCCTTCAAAATTCATTAAAGTGCTTTTGAATTATTTATTTCTTCGTCTTTTCATTCTTTACAAACGAAATTTCTGTTGATTCTTTAATAAAATCCGTTTATGCTTGGATGGCCAAATCTTGCAGACAACGCTGGTATATTCTGCCAAACTACTAGAGCGTCTTTTGTATTAGACACAACGAATGATATGAATAGACGCAAGTGATGATATGAATACACTGAGATCGTTCTCAATTGTTCTGAGAAATCTTGTTTATAGAAAGAATGGCCCGAATACTCATTAAATACTCACTTCAAAATTAAACACTTTTCTTTCAAATGTACCAGTTCCAACACAACAATGCCAGCTTTCTGAACATTAATAAAACTTTCGGTTGTCTAATTTAGAAACGCTTGCACTATAACTTCTGCAAAAATAGAATTAAATTTTCTTTATTTGAGTAACAAGTTCTCTTTGCAGATTGGACTCTCTTAAATAAACGGAAATCTTTTTAGATCTTCGGTTCTTACGACGCTATATTGGTGCGAATTGAGTTGAGCTTCCACAATAGCTGAAAGTGCTTCTTCCCAAGACAATATTTTTAAATGAAGTTCTTCTGCTGCCGATTCCTTATCTGCTCGTTTGTACCTGGATGATTATTTAGGCGAACGTACAGTATCTTCTAAGAGTTTTGCAGGGTAATGCATTCTTTGCATAACCCAAAATTACACATTGGGCAACTCATATTTGTTCTTTCTATGTTCATTTGTATACAACGAGCACAGCGGCGTCTTGATTTTACAATTATTGGAGGGTGATCCCCAACATTCTGGAGATTCTAAGTCATTTTTAACCCAGCAGTACTTTTTAAACTTTTAGTGGTCTTGTGAGTAGTCAAAGGGTTAAAATAATTTTCGTAGTAATGTTTATGAATGTATACTTGCTTCATCATCAATAAAAGCAGTAAATAGTGTTTGATGAATTCCTGTTCATTAACTACTAATTACCGCTGCAACAACTGTTTTAATTTTCAAAGTTTTATACATTGTATTTACTCACGTATCCCCATTTTTTGCTAATTTTATCATAAGAAAATCGAGAGGGGGGAATTATGCGAGTAATTTAATTTCCAAAGGACCCGGTTACAGTACGAACATAACAAATGAAACATCATCATGGGTAGACTGCCGGTAACTCTCATAATTTTTTAAAAAAAACCACATTTCAAAAAGACCGCATAGCTATGTTAACATTACAATATCTAACAAGATACCTTCATTTTTATGTTCTCTGTATCTTGAATCTCGCCTGCTCTTATTTTTGTCTTCTGTCACTCCCTAAGTCTCAAATCATTTAATGCTGCTGGAAAGATTGCTTATGTCTCGGATGCAGTTTTGAAAGTTGTCGTCATCGTTATTATGGCTACCGTTCAGTCTGTCTTCAAATGTACAGTGATCTTCAGAACCTTTCAAGAGCATTAGATATTCCCGTTTTCTTGATGTTCTTCACTGTGATTTATCACAGCTCATGCATCCAACATCCATGAACAAATAAATTAGTAAAACAAAAACAGACACTACATTGACGAATACGTTTTAAAATTTAGGGAAGCTCGCTTTCGGAACTTTTTCTTGAGTAAAAGAAAAATTACGCGAATACTTAAGAGAATTTCACAATCATATGCTAAGCTAGGCGGGACAAATACAAGAGAAGGGAAAATATTCGAGTAAACATGGTATTAACTGTTAAAACAGTTATTTTTTTCTGATTTTTTTCAGCTTTTAATATTTCATCAAATTTTATTTAATTTTTTATTTGCATTATCAGTTAACTGTTTATAATTATGCATGTTTATTAATTATTTCTTTATTATGACATTACTTTTTGCCCTAGGATTACCTTTTCTTTCCCAGTATCTGTATCGCGTGGGTGGTGATAATTTGCAACAATACATGAGTGGGTAGTGAGACTGAAACGTTTGTTAAAGTACTGTTATAAAGGATATTATTTCGATGAAGATTTCAGAATTATCGAGATTTAAACTGTAATATAACTCGACAAAGGAAATTACATTTACAACGGTAATCAAGTCTAATACTAAATTCATCGGAATCTAAAGTTCTCTTGTATTGTAAAGAACTCGAAAGAAAAATCATAAAATTATAGGCTTTTCCTTATGCTGTCTTTCCTGAACTCCTCAACTTCCCCTCGCATCTCCTCACCAGGACGCTAATTTAAAGTTAAGGTAAGTGAAGGGAGTATTTAAATGGGTGAATCTTGGAGTTTATTCAGAGCGTATTTTTGCTAGCCAGCGTACGTCACGCGTTTGTCCTTGCTGTTACGTAGAGTTAGTTGCTGATACGCCTTTTTGACCATTTACATAATTATCACGCTGGGTAGGTTGTCGAGTCAACCTACTTAGTCCTTAACTTAAGGTACTAGTCCAGCACTACTCATTTGACTTGAATTTATTGTGTTACGGTTCTTAAGTTCCACCGCAAGTTGTCGGTGTTATTGTAAAGCACGAAGTACGTGTCTTTCTGTTCATAGTTGAAAATAATAAAGGGTTATTTTCACCATTCTTCGGTGCTGGTATTATTTCACGCCTGCGCGAGAAGTCGCCAGGTTCCTTAGTGGGATCTAGTAGAGTTTATGTGGCCAAGGAAAGTAAGATCTTGTAAAATTATATTAATCAAACTCACTATTGTTCTTAACAATAGGTGTAAATAATATTTCTATATAGTAGTGTATTATTAAGAGTTAGAATTCACAAAAAAATTTCACAGAAATTCCAGGAACAGTGAAATTCCTGAAATCATTCAGTGGGATTTGAGAAAATTTAATATATATTAATTTATTATTCTTCAAGTAATTATCTGGTTTATTTTATTATTTTTTGCTGGTTTACTAAAAAATGTACAATTTTGGTCTTTATAAATTTTTTTAAAAATTTATTTGAAATTTTAATTTGACAGCTGGAGTAATAAAAAATAGGAAGAATGAGAATATGATAAACAATGTATTTTAAAATTTCGTGTTATAAAAACTAATTTATAATGAAAGATGTATCATATACGCTTTGAATTATTTTTGCAGATACAGTCGAAGTCAGCTGGGATTACACTAAAGACACATCATTATGCAACACGTACTGTGATAGTGGAAGTGACTGCTGTGATAATAATGCTAAATGTTATTGTGGAACTAAAGGAGGGCAGTATGAGTGCGTTTGTAATGCTGGACACTTCGGAAGTGGTCACAAACATAAGTGCCATTGTAAGTAGTCATAAACATCAGTACCATCAGTGTCATTGCATTCATTTGTTAATATTTATCATGATCGAAAATTATGTTATTTTGCTTTCATTTTTAGAGTGTATAACTATGAATGATACTTTTGTTCATATACTAAATTTTTCTCTTTGAAGTTTTGATACGTGTTTCTGTTAGATTTCACATTTCTGAATCCAAATACTTTCATTTTCCATTTCCGCAAACCAGTTTTTGAGTAATACAAAAACCTGAATCCACACTGCTTTTATTCATAGCTTTAAGTACATTTTAATGAATCTAATTTCTAATTTTAAGTTAAGTGGAGGTAAGTAACTTTTATGCTTTCTTATACTGCTTTATATATCATACGTTTCTCACCAGGCATATTATTTTCGTATAGGGAAAATTTTTATGACTGCCACATCCGTTCTTACAAAACGTAGGAACTGATAAAATCTGATTTTATCAAATATTAATGCACAAACTCTAAATCAGTACAAAGGTACTTGCTATGATCTTTTTGTAGTATAGTTTGAAGAAGTAATACATGAAAATCTTCATAAGTTCCTTTGGTGGAAACTGAAGGAGCTACAGTAATAACATATCCATTCACTTATATTGCATTTTAGTATTTAGATGAACTGCTAATTTTCTGAATTATGTGTTGAATAATCTAATCTTGATCATCATGACAGTAGTACTGTTTTCAATCCCACTTACTATATTTATGATTTTAGGTTCTGTATTTTACTTTACTTCTGTAAAGAATGTAACTGATTTGTAACTTGCTTATGATAAAATATTTTACTTCAACAATAGTGACCATTTTGGACTAAAATCGCCGTTTTGAAGCAAAATTCGATTTACAGAGGTATTATCGCATTCTCAATCAGCACACAAGACACCTGCAATTTACCTGAAAGATGCAAAATGCCGGAATATGCAGATGACTAGCATTTCACGGCATGCACTTATTACAGACAAAATTAATGATGTCTTGAAGTTGTATAAAGAGGAAGATTGAAATGTCAACTTTTCATTCGGAAATCGCCATTCATTTGGAAATTTTTATTCGGAAAGAGGACTTTCGGCTCGCCTTATATTTTGAGTGCTCGCATGCCGCACAGACACTATACGTTTACAAACATCCATGGATTCTTCGGATTCAAACCCAAGCCCTTCGGTACGGTAGTAGAGTCCCTAACCACTATCCCGGTTGGGCGACTGAGATTCTATTTGGAGAAACGTCGTAGCCTATTGGCAAAGCGGTTTATCATACTGTACAACTGATCCTCGCCACGGCCGTAATACAACGAATACAGTGATAATTTGCAGTCGGAGGATCCAGGAGGGTCACGTAGAGTAACGGGAGAAATATCAGTAGTTCACATTCAGAAATGCCGGAGACTGCTGGACAACAGTTTCGCATCGTTGTTAGGGATCGTGTAGCCAAATACCTCCTCCTGGGTCAGGAAACTGAGTGTGTTGCACAACACTAAGTAGCTTCATGTACGGTGCGAAGACTTCTGCATCATTACAGATTATCAGCAAGGCGACCATTTTCTTGGCTACTCTGAAGATAAAGCACAGGAATCAGTACCTAAAATGGCGTTTCAATGACGCACACGAACGCATCAATAACTTCACGACGACTTTAATGACAAATTTTACTTTGGTTTGCGGCATTATAAGGAAGTATCCATATGTAGAATCGCTAAAGTGAATGAATGTTGGAAACTTGCTTTTCATACACTCATATCGACACAGCAACTGAGTGTATGGTTATGGGTACCATTGGATAACACATCTTATTTGCCTTTAGTCCGCATATGCGAACTGCGATCAGCCACTATTATATTGTTTATTTTGGTACCTGTTCCATATATTCCGAGTCTTCGTCATCCCACTTTTGAACAAGACAGTGTGAGATTATCTGTTGCCCAGAATGTCTCAGGTTTCTTAAATAAGCAATATTGTCGGCTTCTGGCTTAGCTGGCATATTCTCCTTATCTCCCACCATCTGAAAACCTCCGGTTAGAGAATTGCAGAGAAATTGGCCCGACGACACTCAGCCATAGAATTGAAGTTGCATGCCTTGTAGCAGCCATTTAAATCCTATCTGATTCCATGTCCAGCTATCGTTTTTAAAGACAGAAACTCGGGATTCTGAGTTCTTCATATTTGGTACTGCTAACAGCTTTCCCTCATAGCGTGGAAATTTTATTAGCTTAGGAGTATAATTCAAAAAATAGCAGGCGCAATTAAAAACATCGCGATGGAAGGGCACCATTTCATTTTCAAATTTCAGAACTTTAAGCAAAAAGCACGTCGATCAGTCGCAGCTTAGTAAATGCATTATTTTCTTGCAAGTTTGGCGATCTGCTAAATTCGTTTTAAATATACGTTTGATTATATTACAGGAAAGTCATTTCCCGGTTTATTTAAACACAGAGCTGTTCAAAGCAAAGACAGCAAGATTTAATTTTAATTTTAGCATAATTCTTTTGGAATGTGATCTTCGGGCTACTTCCAAGGCAAAGAAAGGATACAACCAATTATCACCTTGGGTCTTCCAGGATTTGGGTATACCGAAACTGAATCTAGACATACAGTGTTTGAGTAGAAAATGTTTGATAAAGATTCACACTATGTACTCCATCCTGGAATATTTCTTGGTTTTCGGAATTAACGACTGCTTAAATGTTAAAGAAGAAATAGATTCTAGCTTAGGTTAGGTTAGGTTATTTAATTACGGCAAAGCCTCGAGGGCTGTCTGGATGGGATGCCTTCGTCGAGGACTTTCTAAGGGAAACTGGCTCGTATACACGTTACACATGGAGAAAACCACGAAAACACCCATGAAGCCAGCCCGTTCGCGAGATTCGAACCTCGGACCGAAGAACCAGTGTTCAGCGACGTTACCGCTCAGCCGCTGGTGGACTTTAGATTCTAGCTCTACACTGTAACAAAAACATCAAATTTACACTTCCTGGCCATTAAAAGCTCTTTCTCGTGAAAAATGTGCACCATAAACATGAAAATTACACGAAAGATTGAACATGCTGGGATATGCGAATGGTTTGCATATCAGGGAGTGCGTAAGCAAGAGTAATGACGCATCGAAGAAGCATAAAAAAAAACGGATTTAATCCTATTGTTCTGTTGCATATCACACTGATTCGTTGTTTTTGTATTGTTGTTTGTGTTATGCTTCTGGTAAGGAGAAGAAACGCATGCCAACCAATCTCAAAATTCCTTTGCGAGAATCGTAGCCTATCGGGATTGCGGATTATCGTACTGTACGACTGATATTAGCGTTGATCAAGATGAGAATTAACAGTGGAAGTTCTCAAGAGGGCCATAGATCGTGAGGGGAGAAATCTCAGTGGCACACACTTAACATTGCCTGAGACGACGCACATCTTGTGCGCTCTATTGTCAGATATCGTATAGCCACAACAAATACCCTAGATCAGAAAACTGTGGATGTTTCACAGCTCTAAGTAGCTGCATATAAATCGTGCAAAGCCGTTCGTATTGCTACAAATTGTCAGAAAAGTGATCTTTTCTTCGGCTTTCCTTGATGCTACAGCAGGTGTGATATGCTGAGCGATGCATAAGAACACATCACTGCCTTTTCCGATGCATCCTGTTTTTGATTACAGCGTCATGATGTTCTTATCCATATGTAGAGGAACCGAGAAAAATGAGTGCTGAAAGTTGCGTTTCTCATCATCACAGCGAAAGAGCACTTGGATTCATGGTATGGGTTTCCACTGGATACACATACAGTTCACTTATGATCTATATATTCGGAATTTTCCCATATCATAGGCTGTACCATGTTTTAGAGGCCTCCTTTACTGCATCTTTCAATAAAATGATGAGAGACCGCCTATAAATCGTGTCTTACGTTTCCTCAATACACAAGCTTTTTAATTCCTGCTTAGGTTGCACAAATTGAAAACATCTGGTCAATAGTAGCAGATACACCACCATGGCATCTAAAGCCGCTATATGACTTCATGCCGAGCTGTATAACTGTAGTTATGGTTGCTAGAGGCAGAAGCTGGGTATAGTGGATTCTGCAAGTTTCCTATATCCAAGCATTAATTGAATTCTTAACCATTTCGTCTGTGCATTACAATGTATTCTTAATATAAATATGAGTCTGTTAACTTCAGTCCTTCACAGAATAGCAATTTTAATAGTCAGCAGTGTATATCTTTTATTTTATTGTATTTTATTTTCTTATTATTTATTTTTCCAGTGTGTCCTAAAGGAACGTATAAAGCCGATGCAAGTAAACAGCCTTGTATACCTTGTCCAGAAAATTTCACAACCATTGCTGAGGGAAGTTCCAGTTTCTCAGATTGCATATGTCTGAATGGTTATCAAAGACATGGAAATTTTTGTAAACGTAAGTTATTTTATTATTATTATTTTCCTTTTGTTTGCACTTGTATAGTAAATTACTTTACCCTGAAAGAGAAAAGGGTAATTTAAATATTTGTATGAGCGTTGGTTCAGCGCAAAATATTTTCTTTCGAAAGAAATTTCTTATTAAAAAAACAATTTCAGTTTTTCAAAAATTTGGAAAGTATTCCTGAGTACAAAGTTTTTAATAAAATTTTAAGAAACGCTTTTTTATTTGATGTAAAATTTTAATCTAAAAAGAGTTTCATTTTTATATGTTTTGTTTATTGAAAGGAGCTTAATTATCTTTTATTTTATTAAAAATCCTTATATTATTTTAATAAAAGTTACTTTTATGAAATATGTCTAAGGTATATACATGACATATTTTTAAATAGTAAGTACTTCTCAACTTTCAGTAGCTTTGAAAAAAGTTTTATTATGCATGAGTATGAATACCATCAGAATATAAGATTGGAAAGCAATCTGTTTTCATATTCCATAAATATTATTGCAGACTACTTATTTGCTTTTCATTTTACAGCTATTGAGTGCGCAAAGCTAAGTGCTCCAGATGGCGGTGTTCTTGTCCCTTCGCGCTGTGAAGCTACCTATGGAATGAAATGCACATTCAAATGCAAGGAAGGCTTCTGTCCATACTCTTGCAACGCGACTGATTTACAGAGTACTAATGATTTTCCATGGCATCATTTACCAACTCAGTCCAGAGAATGCCTGGAAAGTGGAAAATGGAGTGGCGTAGATTTTCACTGTGAAAGTAAATTTCATCTCTTTGACTTAACAAAATCTCGTTTAATAATTTTACTGGTCATTTGAATTTTGGGAATACAGAGAAATGTTATTTTATGGACCCTAATTTGATGATTAACATATGTAACAATTCAAAGACCTAGACCAGTAGTTATCAAATCTTGTTCAATACTGCGAGATGTTCCATGTAAAATCTAATACGTTTTCATAATTTTATTTAATAATAATCCTCAAACTTTAATGTAGCTAAACCCAGACTCATTTTAAATCGTGTTAGACTTCGTTGATGCAACATACAATTGAATTAAGGGGGCTCATACACCTTAAACCCCTTATGATCTTCGAATATGTGACTGTTGCAAGAATTGGGATATTTTATTTATTTTAAAAGCAATTACTTCCAAATTTTTACAGCTGACTACATAATACAGCTACTTTAGAAACTAGTAACCAGAAAGTGTGTGTTGCCACAAATATTTTTGTAATTTAATCCGCTTTGTGACAAAAGTTTTCATCATGTTTTCACCTTGCGCGCATGATATTTTAAAAATGGCTAATGGTACATACTTGAAATTGGATGGAATTCTTTATATGGCCACTATTTTCTAACTGAACCAAAAATTTGATGAATATTTTAGTATTAAAAAAATTTATGTTCGAAAACATTACAGATTTTTTTAATAAAATACATTTTATAAACTCAACTCAAAATAAAATAAAAATTTAACATGACATTTTTAGAATTTTAGGTTCACAGTAGTTTCCAAATGTTATAAAAATTATATATTAAATATGGAATTAAATTATGCAACAGAATGTTTTAAACTGTGCGCGCGAGGTGGAAACATGACGAAAAATGTTGTCACAAAGCGGATTAAATTATCAAAATATTTGAGGCAACATAAACTTTCTGATTACTATTTCAGAAAGCAGCTATATTATATAGTCAGCTGTAAAACGTTGGAAGTAATTGCTTTTAAAATAAATAAGTTATTCCAATTCTTGCAACAGTGACATATTCTAAGATCTTATGGGTTTTAAGGTGTATGAGTCCCCTTAACTCCGCATTCGAGAAAATGACGCCAAAATTTTGAATCTATTAGTTTTGCTCTACTGAAATTTGGTGTTCAATTAACTAACTGATTTTATAAACTCTACGTACTCTAGAGAAATTCAAAGTTAAGTTAGTCATCAATTACATTAAATATTCAGAAACAATATTAATTAAATCGTCGAAATAATAGATAATTAATTAATTATTTTCTTGAATTTAATACAAAGAATTTCCAGTGCTGCGTATCAATAAATTTAATGTAAAACGTAAGAAATTTAATTTCCCATTGTATATAAATGCCCCACCTGATTTTGATCAAGCAGTGTAATTATTTTGCTTAAGCAGTCGAAGGTTTTATTTCGTGAGCATAAAAAGAAATATGAATTTTGAAGGTTAAGAAGCTTAACATTTAACTGGTCGCCTTAAGGATGCAGGTAATGTATAAGGATAATTAAATGATGTATACTTCTAAAGAAGATTTATTTGCAAACAGAATGCAAATTTTTATTAAAACACTCTAAATTGAGAGATTTCGTGGATTTTTTAATATTGAGTTTTCCAAAGCAAATAGTAGACACGCAGTTCCCATTGCTAACCGTTTGAACATTTAAGAGTAATTTCAGATAACTAAAACAGTGTCGAAAACTATGCAACCTTAGGAGCTAAAATAATACCAATACAAAAACCATTACAAGTACCGTTGAAACAGTACTTTTAAAGGCATCAATTTTGGGGTTGCTGAAACTGGTATAGACCGTACAAATGTAAAGTGCATACAAACAACAGTTCTAAATTTAAAAGGTAAAGTGCATGCAACTAGTTCTAAATGTAAAATATTTAGAACATAAAAATGCAACAGTCCGCTCAAAAACAATTTCCTTTTCTGATACAAATGTGATACGACTGTAATTTAAAGTTTTATGCTGTGTGACATATATATCGATATCTCCAAGCTTTGTTAAAATAAGAAGCGTGAAGATTGAACGGAAGAACTGGTTTCGATCAGGACATCTCTAGATCGCAACCGTTTTATGCTCTCTGGTTTGCCAACGTATGAATTTATTAGTTAATTACGAAAGGTGACGTATTTTGAAGCTCCCCAGTTATATTGTTAATAACGACAAATCATGGACATTTATCTGGCTTCGCATCTGTTCTCGTTTTCATCATTTTGTAGGAAGAAATTTTATCAGTGCTTTCTTGATTATTTAGAGCCCCGTTAAAGAAACAAAACATTCGGACTCGGCAGTTCCACTCTTCACGAAGTCCAACAAAGGTACGCAGATTTTGTTGGACTTTGTTGTTCTGAAGCGCAACAGCCAGCTTTCCTGAGAGCTTATTCCCTGGCCACTAAGGACGACTGACCAGCCGACTGACGCTAGTGATGACAGCTAAGTGCCCCCCCCCCATTTCAGTCTGAAGTAAAGGCCAAAGCAGTAGTACTTCGTTCCTCAACTACCAGGATCCTCCTTTCCAACTTTACGGTTCACAACGCACGGCAAACGCATAGTCATTTAACTCTCTATGAGAAACTAGAAATAAAAGGATCTCACTTTGAGCCCCAACTTCCGAAAAGGGAAACCTCAAGGAAGAAAAATTAGAAAGATAGTAGATAAGAAGAGGGGGAAAGGAAAGATCGCTGGTGCTGCAGGATCATGACCTTTATCTCACCAAAAAGGGTGATCCCATGAAAGGGCTAGGATACTTCGGGACTGCCACACTCGTACTCACAAAAAGTGAGCCTCTGAGAGTCAGCTGTGAGGAAAAAACTATTCCTAAACAAACATTTTTATTGCAAAAATTCATGACCGATGATGGGAGTGTGAGAAATAGGTTTATCATATCTGTATCTTCATTTTTGTGATTAGGATTTATAGCGCACTGTAAATTAATTAGCTATATATTTTCTGCTTCTATATTTTCTGGAGTGTTACTCGTGGTTGTTTTGAATGTGAATGAAATAAATGTAATTCGAGATTCAAAATTATTAAAATCTTAAACCTTTCTTGAAATTCGTGCCATAATTATTAAATTTCGTAAAAACACAAATTAATTTACAGGAAATGTACTAGCGGACTGCATAAAATTGCTTCAGGAGCCGCCTGCGAGTTTGAGACTAACTGCGTTCGTGTCAAGCCATACTACATTCGTGCCAAGTGAGAAGAATCATTTAAGGGAAAACTACCAGATGCAAAGGTGATTCGTTTGCGAGACAACAGCCATGCTCGTAATGTGTCTGAAGACGTAAATGTGAAAAACATTCGTGTTATGATTCTGCCTCCCGAAGTAGCAAGCCTTGCCCAACTAATGGACCAAGGATTTACCCAGAATATAAACTACTACTTTCTTTTTGTGCGTCGACATGTTAACTGTAGTGTTCCTCACTCTTATTCTGCTAAATGAAATGCCGAGGAACCTAATGAAATGTTAAGCGTATTATTAGTTCAAATAACAGAGATCATAAACTCAAGAAGGGTTAATTACCCTTTATTTCATTTAAAGTAAGATGAACAGTCGGACCCTTTCTTCGGGCTTACAACAAAGCCTCCACTTGTACTTAAAAATAAGAAATAAGAACTAATTATGCCTAAGAGATTTAGTCGAAGATAACACAGTTGTAACGTAGTTTGCCCTTAGTTTTAAACTAGCCGGCCAACTATCAAAAGGCACGTAATATACGGCCGAGCGTAACAACAATTAGAGAGACTTAGCCCAAAAGCAAACGCGCACTACTCAGGATTCCTAGCTCTCTCTCTCTCTCGAAGTGAGTTGAACTTTCCTTTAATACTATCTCTTACTCATTTGCGTTCAACGCGATTCTAAAACCTCATTCTGGTAGGGAGTTGTAAGTTAAAACGAGGTGCGATAGGAAACGTTAACTCAGCGGTGCCCAACCTTGTGCTCGCCGATCCTTTTGTATGTGCTCGCCAGCCCGCATAGGTACTATGAACAAAATTATTTTAAAAATAAAGATTGATTTATATTTCTTATTGCTAAAATATAGTAAGCATTTATAGTTATAAGAGATATCTTGCAAGACGTTATAAAATAATTGATTGTTGACTGATGAACTTGATAGCGAACATGGAATCTTATTGCTTCATTCCGATGTTAGATGGCTCAGCAGGGTAAAAGTACTTTAACGATTTGTAGAACTTCTTTCGTCAATAAAGCAGTTTTTAGAATCCGAAAATGAAAGTTATAAGGAATTGGACGATAATAATTGTTATCCGATATGTATTTTCTCACGGATATAACAGCTAAATTGAACAAACTGAACGAAGATCTCCAGGGAAAAGAGAAAAAACCCTTTTTCAATTGACTGGGACTGTAACTGCTTTTCAGATAAAGTTAAATTTGTGGATAAAGCAGATGAAAGAAAATAATTTCACCCATTTTCAGAATTTATAAAGCCATATTATTAACCACAAGGCAATTGAAACAGGGAAGTACTCGGAAAACCTAAATGCACAAAATTTTAAGCTCCGCTTCTCTGATTTCCATAAAGTTCAACCAATATTATTATTCATCTCAAACCCATTTGCCGAAATTAATATTTCAGATGTATCACATAAGATTGGAAATATGTTTAACAAAAATGTTGATGTTTTGGAAATGTGCTCGCGATAGGCCAAAGGTTGGGCACCACTGCGTTAACTAAATTAAAATAACTGTTATAAAATTAAAATATGCCTTACAAAATTTTGATGGTAGTTTCTCTGATTTTCAGAAACAGTTAATATTGAAAAACACTATATTTATTTTATCTTTTGCTGTAAACATGTAAAGACCGTTACATTGCGTCTTTGATGGCGTAAACTCTGTCATATGATCCTGTTTGTCCTATGATCGTGTAGAAAGATGAAAATTCTGGTAAGTTTTAAAATGAGCCTTCCAGCCGGGTCTGACATTTTTTAGTTTTATGTTTGAAGATTAGTATTAGTGAAGAGAAG